TTCAGTTTCAAGTACCAATAGAGACTCAACACAAGATTAAATGACTGTAGTTAAGATATTTTAAAGAAGGTAAGGGGTGGAGGAAAATTTGAGGGAGGGAGAAAAAGAGATAAATGGCGGTTGAGATGTGGGTGAAGATGAACGAGGAGCGACGGAGGTAGATGTGAGGATGGAGTTGTGATAGATCGAGGCATATAAAGATGGATGTGAAAAAAAGAGAGAGAAATGGCAGAGCAATGAGAGGAGAGACAATGCAGAGGGGCGGGATGGATGGTGAGGGATGGAGGGTGGGAGGGATGGATAGGTGGGTGTCTCTAAATTCCAACCTCAGAGCCTGACTAATCACTTGACAGACAGCTAATGTGGTGCTGAGGCAGCTCTTGAATCACTGGCTGTCTTGGTTTCTTATGAATGAACAACACTACTGATTTCTGATCACTGACCTGGAATAAAGAAGAGCCAACATTACAGATCATTTTATCATGTTTTGAATTATATTAATTAGCTTTATATTTTAAAAATATTTTTTTGCTTCAGTTTATCTTGAGATATTTGCCTTTTAAATGGCATATCATTTGAATTTAACTGACCAATTTTCAGGTAGGAAAATATTGATAATTTTATATAAGAAAAAAAGAAATTGTGTCTGTTTTGGTCAAAAATTTATTAATTGAGAAAATAATCAGTAATCTGTGATGAAAATAATCATCGGTGGTAGCCTTACCAGATTACCTGATATGTTACAGTTCAAATAAATAGCTAAATAGGTAGATAAAACATGGATCAGTGTATCTGCAAGGTTTGGGGTTCCATACTAAAGATGGAATTACTTACTGCAGTATAATACAGTTTTTAACTTATTCTTACATTTAAAGCAAAGTAAGCGGGGGGCACTTAGAAATGTGGCTTCTTTAAATAAACCTTCACTATAGTGGAATCAAACATGAGCCTAAATTCTTCGCATTTTATCAGCTTTTACTGGCTTTGTTCCTTCTAAAGGCTTCAATATAGGAGCATTATTTAGGGCTATGTCCACAAAACTGCTGTCTCCGCTGGGAACATTTACCACCCTGCGCGGGTCTGGCAGCTACTCTGGTTCTCCTCTTGGCTGACAAGGACTGGCAGCGCCTGTCTCACCCAATTACACCTGATGGGGTCTGACCTGTAGAGCTGGGTTAACTGGTTGCTGGCTGAACACTCTCTGACCTCTTTCGCTGTGTCTGCTTTGCCAGTATGGAAACTATCTGTGTGGTGGCATGCATCAGGCATACGTACTTACATAGCTTTCTTTTTTTAGTTTAAGCAGGTTTTAAACAACACAATATCACCAAATGTCTTGAAAAAGTATTTTCTCCATAACTGCCTAGTACAAACCCTGATTTCTACAGACCGCATACAGTGTAGTTGGGATATAATTCCCCCAAAGGTGGAAAAAAGAGAGTTTTTTCCCCCTTTCCTTGGCCTGAATTTGAACTTGTGACCCATTTCTCACCTCTGGGCTTCCATGTCACCTGGTCATATATAAAACAACCTGTCAGTCTTTCTATTAGGCCTTTAAGCCTTTTAAAGGAAATCAAAGTCCCATTAACAGTGTTCTGACACCATACCACAACTAGTAGTAATCCTTTACTGAACTCTGACCCAGGCAACACTCACTCTCTCTCTCTCTGCCAATTTGTGTGTCTCTTGCTCAACACCCAACACACACAATCATTGCTGGAAGTCTTACAAACACTTAAAGGATCAATGCTCTTAGAGTGATAATCTCCTCCTTGATAGAGGGTGAAAGCCTTCACTTAAGACAAGCAAAGAGTGACAGGGGACAGAGAGAGAGAGACAGCAGTAGAAAGAGATAAAGAGAGAGAGAAAGAGAGAAAATATAAAAAAAAGCTTGTCTAACCCTGAGAACAAACACACGCACAGATCAGGACAAGTGTCTCCTCTCAGCTGGAGTGACATCTATATCCCTGTCTTTATCGACAACTGGCTTAACTAAGAGCTCTTCTGGCAGGGAAGAGGTGACTGATTGTCCATCCACAGAATGAGAGAGAGGGGGAGAGAGGGTAGTAGATAGAGGGTAAAATACTGAGAAAAAACCAAGACACAGAAAGAGTGAGAATTACAGAATGCACCGCTACCTCCATGGCTGGGAGAGGAGTACTTGTAGTAGTGGTACTGGCAATGCTAGTAGCACAGTCATAGTAAAAGCAATACAATCGTATTGCCAAAAAGGGGTTTTGCATAATCTATTCTGCTAAACCATTATGTTAAAATGTTTGTTTTATTTTTGTCCAATGCCACTGTTTTTTTTGTTTTTTTGTTTTTTTTTAATTCTTGCTTTCCACAAAATATCTGTGCATGAAGACTATGGTATGGTTTAGATTAGGGTAAGATCATTTCATATGCCAAATAAAGAAGGGTTATGTATAGCTAAGTACGTTTAAACATTTATTTAAGGTAAATGAAAGATCATTATTACAGTTAATTAGCAGGGTTAGGTCTATAAAGGGATGCAAAATCCAGCCTCCTGTTACATGTCCATCCAACAAGCCGACCTCTACACCTTTGCACCTTTGTGAATACACCCCACACACTTATATTAGCCTCAGCTGAGAATACAGTGACCAGTGTTGATGAAATAAAGCTAATGAAGAGGGAGTCTAACCTTTTAGTTCAGCAGTCAGTGCAGAGCTACTTTCATGCCTCATTTCACTACAATCCTTTTGAACTGGCTCTGCTTGTAGTTCAAACACATCTGTGTGAACGGACACACAGATGCATGAACATACACTTGCTCTCTCATTGCCACACACATTATGCACATTCCCTCAGGTAAATGTATGTATCTCAGCCTTCTAATAGCCAGTCACACATACACATCTTTGTTCAGCTGTGTATGATATTAATCAGATCAATTCTAAATCTCCTGGCTTTACATTACTAAAGCCCCTCCCCATGCCTCATTTTCCACCAACCCTAATCCCCTCAGCCAGCTCTACGGCGCCTGTGTCGGGCTTCTTTTGCGGGAGGCCTGGGCACGCCGGAGAACAGGCACTGCCGGGGGCAATACACATCCCTCAGGTGAGCCTTTCATTATGGATGATGTTTCTGCCAAATTATTTAGACCCTGAGCCCCAGCATCAACCCCACCACCACACACACACACACTCCAAAACCCCACTCCTATCCCTCCCTCTTTCTTTGCTGTACCACAAACACCACTAACACAAACATTAATCCTGCCTGATCACCTCAGTGTGTGTGTGTGCCTAGCAGTTCATTACTCCCTCTTTCTTTGTTTAGAGGAGGTAAACAAGAGAAAGCGTGACCCTTGTAGATTACAGATGGATGGAGGGGAGGGGTAGCTAAGGATGCGGTAAATATTCATCATATGTATGCCACTGTTGCTCTCAGTGCCAGGTTGAGTGCCAGGTTGAGCGAAGCTACCTTAACATCATTGGCTTCAGTAGTGTAGGATGTTAAAGTAGATTTGGCCGAGTGTGAGGTTGCGTGTGTGTGTGTATTCCTCAGAGGCCATTTGCTGCAGACTTGTTAGGAAAGAGACAGAGATGACAGTCTCCTGGCAATGTCTGACCTCGGCTTAGAGAGTGCAGAGCAGCTTTGGGATCTGAACACACACACACACGCACACATTCACACACACATTAATATATCCCCTTCTCTCCGTCCCTTAACTCATTTGGCTACTTATCCCTCTACTTCCCTCCTTTCCCAAATCCCATGCTCCCTCTCTCTTCCTCAGCCTCAGCCTCCCTCCCACCTGTCCATCCGAAATGCTTCACGGTACCTGCTTCCCACTCTCTCCCACTTCAGCATCCTCCCACATCTCCTCCTTCTCATCTTTTCCTTCCTCTCTTCTCCCCTCCTCAGTTGATCTCTATCCCCTCCAACTCCCTCCTTTCCTTTCTGACCCTCCAAAGCTCCATCTGAGAGAAAAAAAACTAAAAATCCTCCTTGAACTGAAAACAAAAATAAAAAAAATCACTCCCATTGCCTTCCAACTCCCAATCTCCTGCATTTATTTTCTCCCAGATAACCTCTTGGCTTGTTACTATGTCCCAAAGCTAAACAAAATGCCTTTATTCCATCTCTTTAAATTTTACGTCTTAATCATACATCTTTCATCATTTATTGTTTCTAATATTGTTGATCCAGCATATTATGCATATTCTACTACTGCTGCACCCATTGTACACCACTAAAGAGCAACGGCTAAATTTCAAAAATTTAAATGGTCAGTATTAATTTTACATTCCCAGCTTGTATTGATGTACCCCCTCTCACACCATTAGTTTATCAGGGGAGTCTGAGCTGGTCCTGCCAAAAAAAATTTTTAAACTTAAGAGACAGATAATAGAGAGCGAGCCTGGCTATGGTGAATCTCTCAACCAAAATAAATATATGAACCTAAACTTATTACGCTTTAATTTACAGTTGTTTTGCATAAAAGGAAACTTGCACAGTTGTGTGTAAAAGACTGAGGACCATACCTCCCTCACTTTCTCTTGTCCCTTCCAGACCAGTGGTCCCTTCCTTCCTCCCCTCCCACCTCCTCTCCCCCTCTTTCCTTTCCTCCTTTCCACCCCTCCCTCCTTCCTCTATAGATCTTTTACCAGTACCAGGACCAGGTTTTGCTCCTCTCTTCCTTCCATTTCCTTTCTCTCCCATCCTTCCTGCTTCTCTCTATCATAATGCATCACTTTGATCCTCTTCCTGTACTCCTACCTCGGGAGCAGTGACTTTTAGGGGGGCTGGAACAATTTCCCAGGAACTAAAGTTAAAAACAACATAGGTTCCTCAAAAAGCATGTCAAATTCCTATATTTCATAAATTCATTCCTCTGTTCCTGGAAAGATTCAGGGGGCATTAGGACTTTGGAGACTTTGGCTAAGGCTGAAGAGGACCATGAACCACTATTTTTCTCTTTTACTGTAGCTTCCTCTCAAGCACTTTCTGCTTCAGTGCGTTCAGAGACTCACCCAAGCTGAATAGGACCAGGAACTTGAGGCAGACGAACTCCCGTTGGTCCAGCTGCAGGGAGCGTAGCTTGCCCACTAGCTCCTGGGCGTGGCTCAACAGGTTATTGAGGGTGGCTCCCGCCTGTGATGCAATCACTGCATAGTCCACCTGGAATAAGCAATGACAGAGGGATGTAAAGAGATGTTCAACACCAAAGTGAGTAAGATTGGAGGTTAAATAAACAGAGTTGCTCTGGAGGTAGATTTATGGATTAAAAGTAATGTGTGGAGTTTTTGACCATTAGTATAGTCTATGTTGCATTCCAAACCCAGTTAGCTATAGCTTTTTAGCAACTTGTATGGTAGCTTGGCTAGCTTGCTAGATAGATAATTTAGTATGTTTTGATGCACCAGACTAAATACATATTAGGTTCCTCTTCTCTTACTGTTTTGCCTTTTTCACTTGGTTTCAGTATGTCTAACTGTGAATATTGCAAAAATGATTGACAACTATACAACACATGACTGTACCCTGGACACATCTCCACTGTGAGCTTGATGTTATACTTTTTTTTTTTTTTATCCCTGTGCCTGCTCTATTGCACTCTCAACATGAAGTCAAAAGCTTTGGTCTGTCTGTCAGAGTGGGAGAAAGAAAAAGCAGCTGCAGGCAGTAGGTGTTTGCAGTTTAACAGTTTTGTATGACATGCTGTGGGTGTATGGACAGAGCATGGGAGTTCACCTCCAACTGAGTAGAACTGCCAGATTTGACTTCTCTTTCTCTCTGTTATACAGCAAAAATAAAAAAACATGCATGCTAGAACACAGCAAAAAACTAACAGATAGATAGATAGATAGATATGATTAATAGATAGATAGATAGATACATAGATAGATATAGATTTCCCCCAAACCCATATTTTTCTGGGTCTGACCCATCAGTCTAAGCACACACAAACACACACACACTCCTTTTTCAGGTGCACTTCATATCTGCAGCCGCAGCACATTTGTCTGGGAGGCAAGTCCTTAGCTGCCACTCAAAGTAAGCAGGACCATATTAAATTTTTATATTTATTGACAATTCATTACCATAATTGACTTTGCTGGGGTTTCCAGGGGAAGGTAGATGTTGGCATGCGCAGTTCCTAAAGCTCAGGGAGGAAGAGGGTCCCTGTGAGCCCCCATTTGCAATTAAAAACACCCCTGGATTTGGAATTTATTTATTGTGTAAATAGGATGATTGGAGCCTGTTTTTCATCTGTGTGAAGAAGGGAAGGGTCATAGTAAAGTGAATGTTAACAGTACACTATGTTTTTCTCTTCTCTTCTCTTCTTCCCTTATTTTCTTTCTTTCTCTTTTACTACACTACTGTACCAATTTCCCAGTTAATCCTTAACTCCTTTGTCCCACTCTCTTTCCTTCTTCCCACCTTCGAGACGGTAAGAGTTATGACTCTGTGAAAAGCAGACACTGCCCCCCCTTCCAAGGTGTCAATCAATTTACATAAAATCAACTGTGCATGAAATAACTTCATTGAAGGATTGGACTGTTGATGGTGATGCCTTGGGTTATTGCCTTCTAGCCTTAAGTAAAAAGAGAGAGGAAAAAAACGCTATAATGTCACTATAGCAGACTTAGCACTAACCCTGGTGACCTGCGTATCAGTCAATCAATCAATACTACTTTATTATCCCTCCTGGAGAGATATAGAGAGTAAATATATGAATAAACCTTCAAATCTTCACCCATCATGAATACGATTAACAATCTTAGCAGAACATTAAAGATGAATATGGAAGGTGAGATCGGTTTGATGCGTAGGGGGCTTTGATGTTTGTGGAAGATGGGGATGGAAAATGTACCTTGTTTGAAAGCACAGAAATCTGCGACTGGCCGGGGAACGTCTGTTTTTGCATTTCTTCATCATTTGAATTTCATGTACACCAGGAGCGCTACGCTATCAAAATATCAGGATTTTTATACCGAAAACTGTCTGCCAAGCTGCGAGGCCTTGCTTAATCATTCAACAGTTCAGTCCAATCTTTGTCACTTCATGTTTGCACACATTTGTATGTTTGATCCTGTGACAGGATAAAAGAACAAGCCTCCTTTCTTCCACTGAAAAAAAACAAAAAAAAACACTCATGGCCATTTCTCACTGCTGTTGGTGACATGATGACATGCAGCAGTCCAAAGAAAGACAGAAAATAAGAAAAAGAGAAATTAGCAAGCAAGGATCATAAGGAAAAGAGAAAGAGCAAGACAGAAACCGACTGACAGGCTACAACAATAAATCTGTCGGTCTCATAGATTTCTTTTCAAAGGTCAGTATGAGTGCAGCGTGTGACTGACGAGAGCAAAGAAGCGGCTTGATTCAAAGCAAAAGGGGAGAAACATCTGTCCGAATTTCCATTTGAACAAACCTTCTCTGAAAAGAACTGAAAACATCTGCCAACATAAGGACATTTAACTGCACAAATATAGCTTTAACTACACATTAAAACAAAAAAGGTTCAACAAAAAGTTCCTCAAAAATAACTTCCTCACTAAACATGAATGAGCAGTCAGCATGTGCTTTACTCAAGAACACGTCATGCAACTGATGATTGATCATCATACACTCTCTCCTGACTCAAAACATCCACAGTTGGCTTCACATTAATCAAGTTCTTATACTGTAACCAACCATAAACCAATATGATAAGCATATTGTAACAATTAAGCTATTAGCACAATGTGGCCAATGCACAGCCTAAACAGTCATTATGTGATTTGTTATGTGTGCGTGTGTTTGTGTTTGTAGCATTTGCTTTAGGTGAAACTGCTACTGTGTTCTAAATATCCCTGGTGTTATCGCTGTGCTGTCACCCCTGGCTAGGCAGAGAATGATAGGAAATAATGAACTGTTTCAGAGCCACACACACACACACGCACGCACACACCCCGCCCCCAACACCAGCTGTTCATTAACCAAAGTATGCAAACGAAACGGCTGTCCTGCGCCTCCCCTGATTATCAGCTCCTCCTCCTCCTCCTTACTGCTCCGGTCTCTTCAAACTGCCTCGTCCTCTATGCCTCATCATCTCCCCCCGATTTCAGCTCCTTCTTTCTCCCGTCTTGTCCCCTGCCACTTTTTCTTTCTTTCTTTCTTTCTTTCTTTCTCATTTGCTTATACATGCCAGCACCTTCTTACTTTCTTCACTTATTCTTTACTACTTACTCCTTGTCTCCCTTTGCCTCTCTCTCCTATCTTCCTTCTCTTTTCTCTTTCTTTCCTTTCCTCCTCTACTCCTATCGGTTTTCTATCGCTTCTCATTTTGTGCATCTGTACTCCTCCATTTCTGTCCTCCCTCCTCCATCGTTTCTTTCGCTCTCCACCACCTGTTAACCAAATACTTTCAACCTTTTCTTTGGCTCTTCCTCCTTCCTTTTCTTTCCTTTTTCCTCTTCACCTCCTCACTTTAACATCACCTCCCTTCTACATCAAAACAATTTAGACTGGCTTAGACTGCCCGAAGTGTATACTGGTATAATATACTTGTTCAAGCCGAGTAGACATTTCTCCTCCTAACTATCATAGTATTATTTACCACAGTTTGTATTACTTACCACTAGAAGTACTTCTGCTTATTTACCACACTTCACCTATTCTACCCCTGACCTTGTCTTCATTCAGAATCATGGAATTAAAGAACTTCCCTGTATACAGTCCACTGCTTCAATATTTATGCCAGCATCTATTGTTGTAAAACATTTTGTTGAAGAGCAATGTTTTGGAGAGCCAGCCAATCAATAATTTATGACTTCTTGTCTCACTGACAGCCATGCCACTGGTCAGAGGCGTTTTCATGATGAGCAGTTTCATGTCTTTGTGTGTGCATGACATTATGAAAATCACTGAATGCTGAAGAGGGCTTTGCTGTGCACTCTGGGTTTGTGTGTTCACTGTTCGACTTGAGAGTGTGTTTGTGAATCAAAAATAGAAAACCGAATTACAGTATCCTGATGCAATGAGGACCTCCATTTTGGGCCTCAGGCATCAGCTCCCACCAACTTCCTCAAACAGCCCGGTAACACAAAATAAACACACTTTGCCGCATTTTTTATGTGTCCACCCACTCACTATGCTGCAGCATTCGTAACCCAGTGCTTTATTTATTCGCTGGTGGAGGAAAAAAGAAGCAAAATTGATTATTCTGGCGACATTAGTATTTATCTATAAGCATAATCTATTTTTAATGAAGCGGTGACTCCTGTGTGGCTGAGTGATCAGTAACGCTTTAAGGGAAATGTTGAGGAATGAGTGATGCATGGTTGGCAGGGTTGTGGAGGAAAAAGGAAAGGCTGGAGGTAGCTGCAAGTTCCCAAAGTGTGGTTTAACCAACTCACCTGCTGGCCAGTGACCAATAGGATGGAACCCTCCTTGGCATGCACCACCTGCCGGAAGACGTGGTCGAGGATGAGGAGTTCACTCCAGCAGTTCTGCAGCAGCTTCATCTGGTCGTCCACCTGGTAAAAAATACAGAAACACATCAGGTCAGGTTACTTAACTTTCTCCCCTTACAAAGCTGTAACAACAGTCTTCGTTGGAGTGATTGAATGCCTGATCAATAGTAATAAACTGCAGAGTATATGTCTTTCACTGTCCCCTTTGATTGTGTGACATGGCCTGTTGTCCCTGTAGAAGGTAAAATTTGTCAGTACAGATGAGTTTCAAAGCGACATCACTGTCGCACATGTGGGGGTTGAAAAACAAAACTGAGACAACATGAGATCAACATGGGGAACATGTTTTTGTGCCTTAAACTCCACAAAAGTAAAGAAAATGTTCAATATCCCATGAAGGATATAGCTCTGATTTATAGCTTTGATAGCTCAAAGTGCATAAATAGATAATAGCATCTCGCAATCTGGTCAGAGCTCTGGATTTTAACAAGATGGTTGATATTTTTACACGGAAACTTAATAAGTAGAAGTCTGTTTTGAAGTCACACTGTTAATGTGTGTTTATGGCTATTTAATGAATACTACAATAGTTTATCAGGCTATGTGATCAGGACTTTGGTAACCCATTTGACATGAACATGAGGATGATGGCTGCCTATAAAACAACCTCTAAAAAGTATTATTTAGAATTCTAAACTAGGAACTAGTCTATACGTACTTATTGATATGTAAACTGTTGATTTACCCCGACAGCACAAATCTCTAAACATTTATTGAACTTGGTGGATAATATCATTTGGAAATCTAAATGCTGGTCCCAAGACATCTTAATAATAAAAAAAAACTCACTTTAGCAACAATGTTTACTATTTTGTTATTTCAGTTTTACATTTAAACAAATAACTGTTATATCCTGTTATATGTTGTAAATGAGCTTTCACTCAAACACAGGATAAAATGTCTGTCTTACCCTCACAACAAAAAGTTGAGACACTGTTTCAACCTTAGCAGCTTGTAAATATCACAGGCAGCTGTTTGCGAGGCAAGCTTGCTCACAGGTCAATCAGTTGCACACCACGGGCATCGTTTTTTCAACCTTATACAAAGCTCAGAAGTCCCCAGCACACACTCTAAAGCTTTCTCATGTGAACCTCTCCACACTCAGTTAAGCACTTTGCTACGTGCCTGATTTAACAATGTTGCTAGGTTTATCTGTTTGCACATTGCCAGCAGTTTCTGAGTGATTCCACAGATGATAATGATTAAGTAGCCATTTTTTTTTTCTTCCTGAATGCCAGCCGCTGGCTCCCAGGGTCCTGCCAGGTGAGCTTGGGAAGCTGAGGCAGGTCAATCAGTGGTTCTCTACACCAAAACAACCCCCTCCATTGTAACTGTTAGTCTCTTCCCATGCTTGGCTGTGTTAATCATTACTCCACAAAGCCAGACGCAGGCAAAAAAGGCCACATTGAGAAGAAAGGAATGAGGAAAATGTATGAGAGGTCCCCCCCCCCCTTTTCTATCAACAAACATTTGTGTTTCTCTTTGTGGTATCATTGGGAATAATGTGTCTTTGTGAATTACTTTGTTGCTTTGGGTCTGTGAGAACCGTCTGCAATGTTCATCACCAATGTCACTCGTAGGGTGAAGAATGTGGATCGATGTTAACACAGGCAGGTGCAGCATGAACACAGATAACAGGTATATTTCTTTTTGTGCTGTCTGGAAATTGTATAGGGATCCATCTGTTGAAATACATACATGTAGGTACCAATTTGATTTCAGCAACTGTAGCTTTAAACTTTATTACCTTGTATGAAAGAGATGTGGCCGAGTCTCAAGTCTATAGCTTGTTGATTAGGATTGTTATGACTGCTGATTTGGAGCTGGTGTCAAACATTGTCTGTTTACCTTTAAGGCAGACATAACAATATTTGTGCCATAACACTGACCTATCAAAGCCACATCTCACACACTGGTGGAGGACATGAACACTTGGGCAGCCTGACTATGGTTGTCTTTGGCCACTGCTGCCATGTGGTAACTGTACTGGTTTAAGTAACTCGTACGTTTTATGTTGACAGCAGCATGTGGAAACCAACCATATAACCTAGCCAGTCTGTTAAGATTGGCTTTATTTCCTAATTTTTTTAGGAGTCCCATAGACTCCACTCTATGTGTAAAAATAATAATAAAATTGGAAAATTAACCTTTTTTCTGACCTCATTAAAACCCTGGGGACCCCAAACAGACCATCGGGGTTACTAAAGGTCATTGTCTTCCCAACCATCATGCCTATATCACAACTATACTGAAATAAACTCTTCACAAAATATAAAAGATAAATAGTATGGTGAAAAAAAACTTATATCCAATGCGTCACATCTCCCATTTCTCTTTTATCAGTGAAATTCAACTGACAAAATACAACAAAGCTTCTGTGACCTTGTCTGACATTTTTGACAGCATCATGGACTCTTTTTGTGTCTCTCCTCCTCCTTTCTAAAATTCAATTTTTTTGTGGTCCCACACTGAAGGCGCCTCAAATACATGATGAAAAAATTCAAATGCCTTCATTAAAAGCATCAGAGAGCAAGAAACACAGTCAAAGGAGGGAGTTCTCCATACTGCGCCCCAATCCTCTCTTTATTTCTCCATCTACCCTGGAAGCACGTGTAACAGCGCGTGTGTGGACGGATGGGCACATGTAAGACCCAGGCTCTTCAAAGGACCCCCCCTGCATGTCAGCAGTGCTGGCAAGTGTCGGGGTCCTCATCAAAGGGTTGTCCTCACTCTGCCTGCCTGGAAGCTCTTCTCTGACAAGAGGCCTGGGTCATCAAAGGGGGGCAGCTCAGAGGGGATGACGGCGGGTGATAGCAGCCTAGACGAAGGCTGGGGACACCCGCCTGGAAGAGGGGGACCGGTGACAGACAGACAGGCGTGAGGGCGGGCCAGGGGTTGGGGTTCAGTTCGCTGACCTTTTAAGTGCCAGCGACACGAGCTGTTTCCCTGACAAGCTTTTCCTTTGCTCTGTCAAATGAGCAATGCTCATGGCGCCTGATATTACAAGATCTGCTGCCTGCTCTCTCAGATAATATGAACTTTCTGACACAGAGTCAACGACCGCTTCGTGTTCACGCCTTGAATAGTACTTTTGCAGCCACTACTGTCGGTAAAACATTAGCCGATTGCCAGTGACTGATTACAGCCTTTCTCAATTTGATTTATTCACAATATGGCATTACAAAGTTCAAATGTTCAAAACTTCCCTTGAGCAATAAAACAGGTGATTTATTTAATCAGTTAATTCTTATCTCACTAGATGGTCATGGAAAATTTAGATAACACTGCCCGTTGCAAGTTTAATGTTTCCAGCAATGTTGAAACAAACTTGTTGTTGTGTTGTTATTCCTCAAGTGTTTTTCACTTCCTGATTTAGCAATGTGATATGCAATACGCTTGTTATCACTGTTGGAGTACCATTGTTGGATTTTCATTTTTCTAATTTATTACTAATATAATGAGTTCTGGTATAAGATCACAGTGTTATTTGTTGACAGAGGTGTCAATGTTGAAGGTTATGGTGGCAAAATGTTGTAAAATGTGTTTACTCTTTGCACATTAAAATAGCAATATGGAAAGTCGGGATCATTTTAGGTAGATAAATAGCTGTAGAGCTTATTTCGTTATTATTCATATCATGAATATTTATGTGCATTTTTTTCATGTTGGCTTAAGTGAGTGAGTGGAAAACATCCTGACTTACTTTTATTATTATATTATTATTATTATTTTATTAGCTAACATGATTCAACATACATTGTTCACCATAGATTATACATGTTTACTACACTATATCAGCAATTCACTAAGACAGGAATGTCATACATGCTCCAAGTTGTTATTTTGTTTTATTTTAACAACAGTTATTAACATTATTTGTCCCCAGCCCAAAAAAAGGCATATAGGTTTATTCAGATTTATTTAGTTCTTTAAAAAGCTTCCTTAAAGCTTTACTTATTATTAATCACATTACAATTTCATGCAATTATTTGCATGTATGTAATATAGCAACTGCACTGCCTTTAAAAATATATGACCATGTTCAAGCTTCTCATTTCTACAGTTTTCATTACTTTTGCTGAAGGAAATTCAATTTGCTAAATAGAAAATAAGTAGAAATATAATTCTGTAAGTTAATTACTTTGAAGGGGAAGCTTTCCTTATTTTTAAGATAATACAGGATTTTTGCTCTGAATTTTTATTTCCAGGAGCAGCACACTCAAGGTTATGAAATTGGTAGGTTGTACTAGTTAGTACAGTACACAGAGAAAAAAAACCCATTGCACTGAAAATGCTTTTCATAGCCTCATATTGTTAGTCTTTGTATGCTCATTATAAATTTGCAAACCAACCAAATTTGCTGCTTGTAACATTAATGTTTCTCTTTCTCAAACTAGAGGTCTAAGTCTTGTTCAAAATCTCAATCTAATGTTTAATTGGGTAAAGGTTAGCTGGCCATGACCTGATGTGAAAATGACACCTAATGATTTTGTGTTTTAGAGTCTAAATGTAACAATTTAGTTACACCGTACAAATTCACAGCAGAATTTCAGCAACATAAGTGAATAAGTTTTCTACTTTTGCTTCCAATGTACGCATTTGGACAATCCCAAGTCTCCATCTGTCCTTGGATGGAGCAAAACTCATTATAAGGATTTATCTTCTAAGGTCAGGCTGATGCAGAAAATACACTCCCCAGAAATTGCTTCAAACTGGCCTCAAAATCCACATTTAAGGCTACTTTTCAAGGTGTGATCTATTTAATATTTTAAAATCATCACCAGTGTTTGGTTAAAAAAATGAGAGAAATTCCAAGCAGGAACTTCTACTTGCAGCAGCCAGCAATGAAAAATACATATCCTCCAAGAAACCAATTTAACACCTTTATGATCGTTCAGGCGAGTGGGATCAATGCCAGGATCAATCGCTTAGCCCATAGCTTTTGTTCAAAACCACTGCCTAAGATTAATGGGATTTTCCAGAGAGAGAGGTAGAAAAAGAAA